GTCTAACCTTCATCTTTTAAGACTGAACCCTGTGCGCTTTCATGTCTCATTGGCAAAAAATAGAGACACATGACTAGATTCAGAGAGAGGAGGGGGAAAGCCCGCAGGATGTGCAACGGGCCCTTGTGAATCACAAAGATACAAATCACTTAATGGGATGGTTTGTTTTTTGTTGGTTTTCTAGTGTTGGTTTGTTTGCTGTTTAGCTCCATACTAAATCATGGCATTTTTTTCTCAAACATATTAACTAACAAGCAAGAAATAAATCTGTAATATATAATCATATATATAGGTTTTATTAAGAAATTGATTTTATTTTCATGCAATAACATACAAAATACTTCTCTGGTTTCCTCTGACAGAGGGTAATCCAACTGGGGGGGCCTAGCCAGCTGCAGTCTCAGTCTCTCTTCCCTGGGCCTCACAAAGATGCAATAATTGCAATCCAAAGTTCCCTGCACGAGCCCCAGAAACCAGGAACAGACAGGACCTCAGAAAATATTTGCATCTTGGACTTCCTGGTGGCCCAGACATCTCTGGGTTGGACCTGATTCTACCTAGCCTGCATGTACTCCATTCCCTGGCATGCAAGTAGGGGCAAAAAGCACTCTGCAGTTTTGCTTTGGAGATACAGAATCCCAGAACAGTTTGGGTTGGAAGAGACCTTAAAGCTCATCTCGTTCCAACCCCCTGCCATGGGCAGGGACACCTTCCACTAGACCAGGTTGCTCAAATCCCTGCCCAATCTGGTTTTGAACACTGCCAGGGATGAGACAGCCACAGCTTCTCTGGGCAACCTGTGCTAGTGCCTCACCAGAATAACTTCCTCACTTCTCATCTAAATCTACCCTCTTTCAGTTTAAAGACATTTCTCCTTGTCCTGTCACTACATTCCCTTGCAAGACGTCCCTCTCCAGCTTTCTTGTAGGCCCCCTTTAAGTACTCGAAGGCTGCTCTAAGGTCTCCCCTGAGCCTTCTCCAGGCTGAACAACCCCAGCTCTCTCAGCCTGTCTTCACAGGAGAGGTGTTCCAGCCCCCTGATCATCTTTGTGGCCCTCCTCTGGATTTGCTCCAACAAGGTTCACATCCTTCTTATGTTGGGGACCCCAGAGCTGAATGCAGTACTCCAGGTGGGGTTTCACAAGAGTGAGATGGCCTTGTCTTTCCAAATCAACCTTTCCAGTGGCGGGGGACTCTCCCTGAGACCTTGCAGAAATGCTCCCAGCCCCTGGCACAGCAGCTACACAGGCTGCTGGCTGACCAGAAAATGTCTGCTCCCTTTCTGCAAAGGCCATACCATGTGGTCCTTTGGATACAACTCACAGCACCCAGCCCAGCATCAGGCTCCCAGAGCATCTGAAACCCATACCACCAACCACAGTTGATCGCTCTGGAATCCATGTGTATACACAATGCGAAATGAAAGGGAACTTCACACAACCTGACATGAACTGATTGTAAATCACCAGTTTCAGACCAAGAAAAGCTTCTGTACCTTGCTTTTCTTTTCCAAGAGAGCAGCGTCACAGGTCCAGAGGTAAAGCAGCACAGCACATGGATCCACAGAGGCACATGCCCAGCCAAGAAGGTTGCTGCCACTGAATTGCTCACAAGTTACATTGCCTAAGATGAGAAAAAAAAAGGAGGAAAAAAGCAGATGCCCGTATCAGAGGGGTTTCCACATTCTTAGAGTCCCAGGGCTTGTGGTAATTCTATTTACAGCAGAGGGCTCTGGTTTTTGCTTGCCAGGGAACATTAGACCAGGATAATATTTCAAGTCCCATAAGCTTTGGAGGGACCCAGAGTACTCTGCAAGGCAAAGAACAAGCACAACAAATATTCCTTGAGAGGCTGGAGTTCAAAAGACCCACATCAAGAGAGAAAGCCAGAGAAAGCACACACACAAAAAAACAAACAGGGAGGAAAGTGAAGAGAAACTTAATTTTTCACTGCACCAAATCATGTTTGGATAATCTTCACCTCCTCACCTTCACTCTCAGAGCAAAGAAAAGCAGCAGACTACCCAAAGATACATTTTATAAAGAGATACAGCAGGTCAGAATGCTGACCCCAGGGTGGGCTTTCTTTTCAGACGGCTTGCTATTAGAAAAGTCAGTCTTCATAATTTAAAAATGACTGTGAAGAAAGGCAGAAAGATCACTACACTAACAGCCCATGAGAAATCATTAAAGTCATGCTTTTGGCTTCTTGGTTGTAACACTGTCTAAACTGGGGAAATGTTGACAATAAGTGATTTATCAAGTAGTGTGAATCTGAAATGTTTGGAGCTAGAGTTAAAAATCGGCCATGAGGTTCAGCAGCTACTCTTCAGCTCCAGACTTTAAGTATCTTATTTTTCAAAAGCTAAACAAGGGAGTTATTTGAAGTTCATGGTCACTGAGAAGTCAGCACTAAAAGTGCTTGGGTCCATGGCACACAGAAAGAGGCCATAACAAGAAGGAGCATGAGGAACCTGGACAGGTTATATATGATCAGTCCTCAAGTATAATGCGCAAGGGTAATAATTTAGTGGCTTATAAGCACAAGAACTGCTATACCAGACTCATTCAGTAGTCTGCCTCCTGTAATGACAGAATCACAGAATGGCTGATGCTGAAAGGGATCTCTGGAAGACCTCTAGTCAAACCCCCTGCTCTAAAGCAACGTCACATAGGATGAGTTGCCTTGGACTGTCCAGTCAGATTTTGAGTATCTCCACAGACCTATTGGCAACCTGTGGCAGTGTTTGACCACCTTTGCAGTAAAAAAAATGTTTTATTGTGTTCAGATGGATTTTCATGTGTTTCAATTTGTGCCCAGTGCCTCTGGTCCTGTCAGTGGGGACTGTCTTCTTCATTCCCTCCCACCAGCTATTTATACATATTGATTAGGTCCTTCCTGAGCTTTCTCCAGGCAGAGCAGTCCCAGCTCTCTCAGTCTCTCTTCACATGAAAGATGACACAGAAAGACGATCCAGGTCTGCAATGAGACCTTCAAGTTACTTCAGAGGAGGTCCTAGCAGGCATTTAGGCATTCAGAGGTTTGTAAAGATTTTTGGTCATCGTAGTCCTCAACTCAGCGCTGCATTTTTTGTCAGAACATTCAATTTTAGGAAAGCATACTAAAACATCAGAAACATTATCCTAGCCATACAGAAAGTAATTCCAGTGCTGTAAGAAATATTCTGTGCAATTCTCTGGATACCACAGGTGTTTGTGCTGATTTAATCACTGATTTCTACAATTACTAGCTTCTTCCTATTCTAGGAAGTACAGCTGCTGTTTTTAGAAATGTGTAATACAGTCTGCCTCAGCTCAGTTCTTGCTGCTAAAAAAAAGAAAACATAGCAGGAGAAAAAAGAAGTCTAGAACCTAGAACATCAAATATTTTCCCATATCTTATTTAAAACAGACAAAAGTTTCAAAGTGCTCAGAGGTAAATTTAGTTCTGGAGAAAAGCAGTCCAATACATTAATTAAAAGATATTCAGAAACAATTAACCTTCTTCTTTTCTGGCTTTCTCTCTGTGCCTTGAAGATGTGCTTGCTCATTGTATTACTTAACTAAATCAGTAAATGTCCCTTCTGTGTTATTTTCCCCTCCAGGATGACTTTGATGTCTATGACCCTGAAGAAGTGCAAAACTCTGACATTAACAACATGTGAGAAACAATTCCACATGCTCAGTTAGGTCCTTGAAACACATTTATCACTTATCTAGCTAGGAGGATAAAGAAAGCTCCCCAAAATCCAGTCACCATTTGGTCTTGAAGAAATACAGCAACCATTCAAGAAGTCATAGGATTGGCATACCTTCAAACCAAGTTATCACAGGTCTTTTGGACCTGCAAATATCTTACTTTTATCTTTCTCATTGTACTGGCTGGCCACAAGCAGCAGCTGGTTCTCAAGCTCCTTCAAGTCCTCTAAAGTCACATCATACTTTACATAAATGTCTTGCTGGTCCTGTGTGTGAATATATCCATCTTTACTTGTGTGAAAATTATCATGATTTTCCACCTCTGCAGACTCCGTGAACTGAGTGCTGTGGCCCTATGCCATGAAAAAGAGACACGGAGATACAAGCCATCAGCTCTGCAAGGACTGCAGTTCTGTACAATGAACATACCTAGGGGGGCCCTGGCCTAGGAACATGGTATTTTATCATTAGCAAAGAACACTAAAATACAATATTGCCAAAATGCTATTTTTTTACAGGTAACACCTACACTGTAGGTTTATTTATACTATTATAGAGTTAGATAAACTGTACAAGATTTCTGTTGTGCCTAGCTTTTCCTTCAGGAATATAAATCCACAAAAACCACCATGAAGGCATGAAAATGAGGTTAGCTCTTGAACTAAGGTAGAACTTTTTTTCCTTTTTCTAATTCAGCTTAAATTTGGCAAAAGGTATCTTAAATTCTGATATTTAAATACTCTGTTCAACATATTTTTTAAAGCCTTCTTGGTTACACTTGCAAATTACACTTCCAGGGTTTAGAGATAAGCTCACACACACAAAGACTTGAGCACTAATTAAAAGGAACACCCATCGACTGAAGTCCTAAATGGCTGCGACATCAGCACTTGTTCAATAGAATAGTTTAGCAATGACCTTACTTTTCAAGAAAAAAAGAAAATCATCAGCATTTTTAAAAAAGAATCATCTACCGTAGCCATGAGTCACTGGTTAGCTTGGTAACACCCCAGGCAAGGATCCAGTACTGCAGTCAGCAGAAGTGACATTAGATTCCAGAACCTGTCTTGACTACCAGTGCCACAAAATGAATTCCATACGTCTATCTCTAGGTGTATAATTACAGAAGTTAAAAGTTAAACCCCTGGTGTAAACAACCACTTGGTATAGGGGTGTAGTTGTAAAAGCCTTTAGAAACGGTTCTTTTTGTAAGAAGCTGGCAAGCAAATATAAGCTTCTCTTTTTCCACTGTTTGTTTTTACTGTTTCCTGGTATGTAATGAACCTTTGTTCTCACTTCAGTGCCAAATAAGGATGCACAGTGTATTGGGAACTTCCTCCTTTTACTGACTTTCCTAACACCTGCCCTTACAAGATCCCCAGTGCTACCCACATTTACCTACTAGCACTTGGCTGTCTCAAATTCTCTTAAAAGAAAGAATGGAGGAAAGAAAACGGTATTCACTTTAGTCATGGAAATCTTAGTCAAACTTAAAAGTAGTGGGAAGAACAGCTTGCCTATTGCTTCACATATCTATGCTGATCAGAAATCATTCTTTACCATAAAGTTAATGAGGCAGCCCTGCGAAATATACACCTAATTTCAACATTATGTTGGATCTTTTTTCAGTGCGGTGTTCTGCACTCTCTGTTCTTCCCTTATGCTTCTGAACAGGCTATTTGTTTCACTGCTTTTAGTGATGGGGTGCAAAATTTGCTAAAGGTTAAATCAAAGCCCTTTGTAAGATAATTAATTTCAACTTGATTTAGGTAAATAGCTGAGCAAATACTATGCTGACTTCACCATAGTAGGTAGAAGATTATGTTTTAGTGGTTTTAAACATCCTTAAGGAGAAAATTCATTGAAATATCTCCCTTTCAAGCTCTTGAATTTTTTTTTCTAGTGTTTTCTGTTCTGTCACTCTCCTAAAAATCTCAGTAAAGGCTACTGCACTCTGCAGAAGGGAGCATGTGACTATAAAAACAAGACCAAAAAGAAATGAAGACTTTCTCCCTGTCACGTTTGCTTTGGGAGTCATATATTAGAGACTACTCAAGCCTTCTAAATACTGCCTATGCCTATAACAAAATGTTAATGCCCAGTTATATGTCTGTACCAACAAAGCAAGTAGCTGGATATTTATGTGCTGTGATTTTTGCCTGTAGATTTTGGCTTTGCTCCTCCAGCTCTGCTCAGGTTTACCAGGGTTTAACAAATCCCTTCTGGGTTATAAAGCAACACTTGCGCATCTACATATACTATCTACTTTCTTCCAAGCTGAATCTCAACAGCGGACAGAAAAGAGTTTTGATTTCACATAATGTACTGTTTTGCAGGGCCTTCTGTCATTGAAACTCACACCTCTGATGATGTCTATTGCAAGCAGTCTGCTGGGGGGGGTACAACACTGCCTCAGAATCTCAGTTTCAGATAGCTTGTGTCCTGAGCCACCACACTGGCTCATTGTTTACAGTGCCAAGGGTTTCATAACACTCCTCCAGTCTGGGGCGTAGATTGGATGCTAAAACTATTTTTAAAACAATGCCATCCATTTCAGGTTTATAGCACATGCCAACAAGTATGTTAGATAGGTCTCAGCTTGCTAGTAAAATGGCTCAATTATTATTTCAGTTCTTGAAAGACAGTCTGTGCAGTATATTAAAAAAATACCCAACAACAACAAACCCCAACACATTAGGAACTGTTGTTAAGGAAATACTATTGCCCCTGCTTCTAAATTTGTTGCCATTTAAACTGTAATAGGATTAGTAAATATTTATCTAGTTGATGTTCAAGTGTGTATATATGTATTAGTCCAGGGGACAGAGAGGCTACTGTGAAATAATGTCTCTCTGATAGCTAGAGGCTCTCCAAAGTGTTTCACATCTAATCTCCAGATCAGAGAATGCTTAGATGGAAGGTCAGAACTGCTCTTTACATCCTTTCTTCTGCAGCAGGAAAAAAGGGGAATGAAAATGAAGGTATATTATGCAGAGTTCAGAAGGAGACTTTGTCACAACGCCTTCTTCCTGGAAATCTGACGCCTCCCACTGGAAACCAGACATTTTAAAATGACTTCTGACTATTCAAAGATTCTGGACCACCCAGTTCAGCATTCCTTTAGTGGAAAATCACAATTTCTAGTTCTGAGTAGGTTTTCATTTAGGAACACTGATTAGATTTAGAAACACTGATTATATATTTTTAAAGGATAAATGTGGCCATATTAGAAATAAAACTAAAGATACCTTAAAAGTATCCATGTCCTCCCCACACATTTTATTTATCTCCAAAGAGGTTTAGATTTTTTCATGTTTAGGGACATGAAGGTTTTTTTCTGTTGTTCAGGGTTTTTTTTTGGAGTGGGAGGGAAGTCTTGTTACTTAAACAAGCATCACCACAAATTGCAAAATGCCTTCAATTTCTCACATCACATCTACTCTGTGTGATGAGTCCCATACTCACAAAGGTCCTAGTTTAAGCACAGCCAGTGGCACCTAAGTAGATGACTGTGGCAGGCCTTACTGACATGGTATTTCCTTGTACCTGAAGTTTCTTAGAATGTTGCAGTTAGGTACAGGTTTAGCCCGTTAGGGTGAGATATATGATTCTGAGGAACAAGCTACCCTGAATCCCTCAGATGGTTCAGCATTTGATCACGACACAGTTTGCATAGAAGAGAGAAATGGATTATGTACTACTGTTAAAACACATTTTGGAAGACTTAGGAGGTACCTCACCTTGTAGTCAGCTGGTGTGTAGTGAATATATGGCTGAGAACTCAGGCCATCAGAAACACCAGTGCCTCCTTTGGCAGCACCAACCCAGGACGTATTTTCTGTACTGGGAATTAGGTGACCAGTGGTCCTGATGGTCAGGCTTCTCTCCACAGACCTGAAGCAATAAAGGATCCCCAGGCACACTCTCTTAACCAAACCAGAGCAAATGGACAGTTGCATTTTCAGTTGAACACCTCCCCTCTTAAAAAATTTAACTCTGATCTCTGCAAATCTTATGTTGAGGATTTTGTTACCTTTAGCTCCTGAAGTCTCAGGTGATGTAGAAGGGACAGGTATGCTTCTCTCCTCACCACGTGCTCCGCTTTTCTAATCCTAGCAGCTGCAAGCTGCCCATATAACTACACCTTTATCCAGACAGGAAAAATGTAATTACATTTTTGCTACTTGAGGAGATTTCTAAACCTTTCTAAAGGAGACAGTTTTGCTATGCCTGTTGTCTAAGAGAAGGCTGATGTTGCCTACAGGACTGACTGTCATGGAAACCTGTGGTATGGAATAATGGAAAAGGATGGCATTACTGCTTCTGTCAGAGAAACAGTAGGCTGATACAATTTTTCTTCCTTCTTTCAGGTTTTCTTAAATACCTTCATACGTATACATATTAACAGTTTTTTACCCTCTTTCAGTCTTATTTCTGAAGGATGCCAGAGTCTTACCTGAGCTGATATTTCTTACATCCTCCCCACTGTGAGCCACAGCTGTGTTATCATCCTCGATAGTTAGTTCCTAGTTCCAATACATGTTGTTAAAAATTGGTGTGGTAAGTGCACATATGATTCTTATTTGACAGCTTTATGCATAGGCTTTATCGTAACAAAAGGAAAATAAAAGGCAAGGAAGTGCCATACTAGATGAAATTCATGATCCATCCAGCAGTGAAATCATTGTGACATATAACTCCATAATAATTGATTGCTTTCCAATCCTTAGTGTTTCACAAAGTCCTGAGCTGTATGAAAGAGCTCTCCCTGTTTCATTGACAAGACTGTGGCAAGGGTCAGATTGAGAAAACTTTCCAAAGAAACTCAGAACATCTCTTTCAAAATCTCGACCCAACTATGGCCAGTGACACATCTTGACTTCCTAGGCCATCCTTTATGCTCCTGCTCTAAACGGAAAACTGGTTTCTGAGCTCCAGCAGATCATAGGCTGAGCATGAAGCAAAATGATAGTGTGGCAACAAAGAAGTAACATCAGACTAGGCTATGGAAAACCTTTAACATGATGTGTACATAACTACCCCCAAACAAGCATATATTAAATGTTCTAGCTAACATTCATAAAACTAAATGCATTAACTGATTGTCTGTGGGGTTTTTTTTTCTCACTCCTTTCCAGCACACTCAACAATGTAATACAAAGAGTAGTAGGAGAGCAGCAAGCAGGGAAACAGCCACACCTGCCATGTTACCAACTCCATCAAGGCTTTTTTCACATGCATCAGGAGTTACTTCAGCAACATCAGTGAAATTAAACTGGCATTAATACCAGTGTAAATGAGAAGATCATTATGAGTCACACAGCATTTATTAATTGTGGAACATTATGGACACTGATGTCTAGGCTTTATCCAATTAATTTCCTCAGTCAGTCAAGTATGTAAGAAAAACTTGCCTTCTTAACCTGCTTCTCTATCCCAATTTATTTTACCACTTCATTTGAACTTGGATGGCGTAAGTTGAAATTCTTTTCAGTGTGGTAATGGTTTTATAGCATTGATTTTGGCATTGTTGTTTTCTGATCAGAGAAAAAAACTAATAATGTATCTTCACAAATTGTGCTTGTCAAATTCATCCGGTTCAACATGAGACATCCTAACAAAGCTACTCATAGAAGTGACACAGATAAACTCAGGACTACGTTGGCTGTTCTATAAATTTTCAAGTTGACGTGAGTGTATCATCTCCAAAAATTCCTTCTGATTTGTCAAACTGTCAAACAATGAATTCTTTACAGAATCCTTGCAATGATAGATTGTCTGTTAACAGATTTCTCTAGCCTTACTAAGCATGATCATCCTTACTCAGTCTGTCCTCATTGACTCCAAAAGTCTAATTACTTAAATTTCAGAAAAACTAGATGCTTCTGTCTCTTTTATTTAAAATAATGTGAGGTCAAATAGGTTTAACACATATATTCCTGAATCAACAGCATTATCTGTACATCTTTATTAAATACCATAATAAGTATATGGACTATATGGGATGAAGCATTTCCACTTCAAATTTCTAATTTAAAAAGATACAGACAATGCTGTCTGAAAAATGCGAGTGAAATGGGGAAAAAAGTGATGTCTCGTTTGTGGGTAGCGGCTGAATTTTTATGTTGAAAACACTGAGACCTGGGCAGCACTTTTTTTCCTTTTTTGTGAAGGATCTAATTCTAGTTTTTCAGTCACCATCGTGACTAACCTGTTTCAAAACTGAGATCAGTCACGTCCCTTGCATTGCCTCCAAATAGGTATTTCTTTCCCAACCCAGTCGTGGGCTCAGTGTACTTGACAGAAGATGTACTGTGCAATCTTGTTGTCTTTCTTTTTTTAAATTAATCACCATGTAGCTGGCGTGAGTCAACCCAATGTTGGTTTTATTTCCTACCAAAAAAAAAACCACACAAAAAACAACAAACCCACAAAAAAAAACACAAACACACCAACACACAGGAAAGGGAATGAGGACAGACTATGTGCTATATCTCTCCCTTTGTTCTCCTTCCACTGCTTCTGTATTACTCACTGCCCTGTTTGGTCCTGGCCAAGTGCAGGGGTACAAAACCTTCTCATTAATGTTACAGCTGCATCCAGCCCCAGTAGCTAAGACGCTTCCTCTTTAAAAAACAAGTGGAGCAAGGAGATTTTTCAGTCCTTTCTTCACTTGCCACCAGGGCCCGCTGGTGCAGGCAGGTGAGCATGGGTAGAGTGAGCCAAATGAAGATTGGCTGTAGGTACAGAAACTCCTGGGATGTAACAGCTCTGTGTGTAATGCTCTTATATTCATTGAAGCAGCAGCTGTGAACGACCTCTGAGTCAGAAGGACAATAAAGAAATAGGGAATCAAAGTCCATCTTCATCAAAGGGGTAGCTTCAGATTCAGAAGATTAGTCATCAAGCTCACCATGTAAGGCATGCCACAGTTACTACAAATTCCCCAGATACCAGAGACAGATCTTACTTCTCATTCGCTAACCTGTCAGCTAGGCCATTTGTGGGTTCTTTTTTTTCCTCTCCAAAACTTGAAGATCTCTCACAACTTCAACTTTCACAGCTTCTGAACCTCCATGAGGCCATGCCCACAAATGCTACTTCCTCCCCAAGAACAGGAACTGCCCCTGCACAAAGCAGACTTCTGCTGTCAGGTCCACAAGCCTTCAGCAACCAAGACATCCCCACCCCCCCCCCAACACACACAACCCACCCAAACCCAAACCCCAAAAAACAACACACCACCCAAACCCACACCCACCCCCACAACACAAACAACTCATGCTGCTTGTGCTATGACTGGACCAGTGGCTGCACAGCAGCTAGTGAGTACCGAGAAGAGGACATTGTGCATCTGGCTTGGGAATGCAACCATACGTTGCAGCTTGGCAGCTCCTGCTTAGCAGCAGTAGCTGAAGACTGGATTTTGAAAAGGAGGAATGCTGGTATCCAAACAGAAAACTGCAAGAGGAGCCCTCTATAGCCCTTGATCATTGACAAATGCCTGCTAGACGTGCTAGTTGACCGTTATTCATCATTGGCCTTTCTAAGTACCTGGTGGAGCTCAGTGCAAGCATAGATCTCCTTCCAGACACGACTGTAGCAAAGGCCTGAGAAGAAATGGTAGAACTTGACCACAGAGGATGTGGTCAAACACTGCTGCCGCATGTTCCTGGATACCTTCCATCACCCTTTCTACGTCTGAGACCTTGTTTCAAACCACATCAAATACAGACAAAAGATTCACAAGGATAACAAGTCAGTGTGCCAGCCCCCATCCCACAGTGAGTCAAGGTCAGTTCAGAGCATCTTGTGAAGGAGGGAGCCTCTTCAGCACTGCTCATTACTTCTTTTATTTGGGAAAATTGTCTGCTGCCCCTTCTCCAAGGTTATAGTGTAGAAATGGACTTGCCTGTCACAGCATATGGAGAAAATACACCAAATAAGAAAGAATACAAAAGTGCTTTTTTCCTGAGATTTATGGAGGGGTGTGACTGCTGGGTAATCCCCTCTCTCCTGTTACCCCTCACCCTCAATGAGGTGTACATGTTTTTTGACCAAACTCAAACATATTGCATTTGGTGAGAAGCCACTATGGAAAAAAACAGGGAGAATGATCTTGTTATCATTGTCTCAGAGCAATGGCTGCAAAGCCATTTTTCCTTTTGTTAGTGGTGATGATGGCTTTCACCCAAGCTTTCCACAAAGATTACATGCTGTGGCAAGATCTGAAAGAATGGTTTCTTTGTGAAATATCT